TGGGATTTTACCTACAACAATTAATATGTAAATGAAAGATATAACACATTGGATCAGATCTATACTATTAAATTATCACTAAATTTATTGAAAACTAATTATATGTTGTTTAGTAATATAAAAGATGCAATATTAACTAGAATTCACTGCTATTGAAAGGGTTTCTACTACAAAAAGGTTATCATGGACACCACATATTGGTAAAATGTGTAAAAATATTCCAGAAATATTGGTATACCTATCAAAGTACTTTTTCGGTCACATATATTTTTGAATTTATACTCTACTTTAAATTTGTTCTTTCTTATATTATGAAATTTTAGCCTGGAGCAACTGTGCAGGCTCGTTATTGGACAGAATCTTTAATACTTCTTCAGAATTTGTTTTTATTATAAATCATTTAGACTCTCGAGCACATACAGATACACTCTTTTACTCGAACAAAATTGTACAGATACGTGATCTGTTTTCATATGAGGATATTTATGTAGAGGTGTTGTGGTCGAGTGGATACGTCGCCGGACTGTCGATCACAAGATCCGCGGTTCGGGTCCCGCCGCCGCACTAATGTCCTTTGATCTACATTTACCACACTCCACCTAGGTGAAGTAAATGGGTACCTGGTAGGAATTTATTCCTTGCAACGCAGCGCGCGTAACAGCTGCACTGCTAAAGCCAGGGTAATTATGCTGCATTATGTAGAGCGTTTAGAGACTTCTCATAAAGTAAGTGTTAGGCGCTATATAAGCAAGGATAATTATTATTATTATCATTTATGCTGTCGATCAGTAGAAATGAGTAACGGAAGTTCTTTTAGCCATGTTAAGAAAAATATCGAATTACACAGCTACCCCACTATTTGAGCGGGCTCCTATCACCTTCCAAAATTGAGAACCCTACTTGCGAATATTTTGTTTACTTTTACAGGACCCAGACTTTGGAGTTCCCTTCCCAGATGATTTTAAAGAGAGACCCACTTAATACGGTTTCAGGAATGCATTTAAACGTAATTTTTCTCCAGCAATATGACAAATGACTGAAATAAACAACCGTTTGTTATGTTTACTTTTGTCAATTCATAGATGTTCGCTTTTCCATCTCGCACCCATAACTAGCATATTTAGGGAATTTACCAGTCCCATCTTACATTATAATACTACTATCTTTCTTCTTCGCTTTACTTCTCGCCTTATATCTCTACCTCCCCCTCTCTCTCTCTATCTCTATCTCTATCTCTCTCTCTCTCTCTCTCTATCCATCTACCCACCTATCCATCGTTCAGTATATTCATCTCTCTGTCTGTCGTCCCCCCTTCCCCATATTCTTTCTCTTCCACTTTTAACCGTAACATCTTGTATTTTGTTTTCATTCAAATTTTTGTCTCAGTCTAGTGGATGTGTATTATGGGTTTTTCTGTATATGTTAGTAACGTAATTCATTGGTCCTACACGCAACAAGCCTAGCTTATGAGTAGGTTCACTTTTTATTTTCGTATTTATTGATTTACAGAACATTCTTTCATATTATTAATAACTATGATTCAATATTATTTATTTTCATATTACTTAAAGAAACGTTAATATTGTGTAAAATGTATTATACTTTGTAAAGTTTACATGGAATATTAATAAAAAGGCAACCAATCAATCAATGTAAGAAATGGTGAGATTAAGGGATTTCTTAAAAGTATCGAGAGAAAATATTTGTCTAATGGTAATGGGTTGAGAATTCCACAGAGCAGGAAGTGATGCCATGAAGGAGATGTTTCCGTGTGTATTCATGTTTACAGGGTGTACAACCAGAAGATGTTGTGATGATTATTAAAGATTACGTACTGGAGTATGTTTATCAATAAGTTCTTATATAATAGATGCACCACAGACTTGGAATCACAAAAGAAAAGTTGTAAAAAGAAATACCTTTGAGTTATACATTTTGTTTAAATCAAGTTTCAAGATAAAGTTCAGATGTTCTTCATAGTTCCATTAAAATATGTATGCAACACACATTATAGCCTAAAAATAGAATAAAGATTTGAATAAAATACATATAATTTCTACAATAATAATACTAATTGTCATCGTTATATTTATAATAGCAATAGTAATAGGAATAATAATAATCATTAAAACAATATATTACAAAAATTACCGGTGCTGAATAGTGCAACGATTCTGTTTACTTCTTGTTCTTGTTCCTCTCGTTTTATATTCATAAGTTTGTATTTCATATTTCCTCTAGTTTAATGCTTTAGGTTCAATATGTTAATATTGTATATATATATTGTACCTTCTTGTGTATTCGTATATGGATTTGCATGTATAGCGCCATGAGCGTCATGCCTGACGGACCTGGTGCGCTTTATAAGAAGCCACCATTATTATTATTATTATTTGAAGTATAATATATGGTAAACATCAAGATGTTACGAGGGAAGTGTAGATATGACAGGGCAATTTAAAAACCATGTAAAATGTGAGGAGCCTTAATAAAAAGTAAAGCTTGTACAAGATCATGCACATGTACGGAGTAGTATTATACAGTCTGATTAATGTTCAGTAAAGGGCGTAGAGGAAAAGCAGTACCGAATACAAGAAACGTTCAGGGAGAACGAACCTCGGAAAGTATATAACCTTTGGGCATGCATACAGCCTACATGAAACCATTTAATATCATCAATTCAATAGTCAAGATACTTAAAGAAGTGAAACTAATCGAAACTCGGGTATTCGTATATCGAGACAATTTCTCATGATTCTTCATTGTTACGTTACCACACTCTTTAAAATAGTATTGTTTTCAAATACTATAAGCATAGCAATCTAACTCCTCTAAGATGCATTCAGGAAGCTGTAATCTATTTCCTTCTTTCACGCATCCATTTTATATCAATTGATTTTCTATTAAGGGGAATACTATAAGGTACAGAACAAGACATTTCCATTCGTAGAATTTCATTTGGTGATAAAGAGATCCCGCAATCACTAATTCTATAATTCGTTAAAAAAAATTGTTACCACATCTATCTAGATTTACCCATCAGGATCTCAAGGGAATCGTTTTTTCAAATAATTAATTTTTCAACTACCTTAAAATATATTGACAATTATATCCCTATCAAGTATCTCTTTGCACACAGGTCATACACAAACATACACGCGCACACATATGCTCTCTTTCTCTCTCTCGGTCTTTTTTCTCTTACTTCCTCGATTTCTCTTCTCTTTCTCTTCTCCTTCTCTCTCTCTCTCTCTCTCTCTCTCTCACCCTCTTACTTTCTCTTTCTTTCTCTCTCTCTTTTTCTCTCACACATATACATACACACACGCACACACACGCACACGCGCACACACGCATACACACGCACTCACACATACTGAGAACAGGTTTCAGAATGAACAACATGTATAAACGATATCCTCTTAATAATATTTTATTACTTTACATTAAGTTGTAACTTACACATCATTAATCAATTTCATTCGCTATAATACGAAGTTTTGGTATGGGGTCATGAATTTGGTTCAAATGAACATATTAGAAGCATATGCGATCCTGCAATACTCAGTGATCGTTGTCGCGATTGAAATCGAGTCTAAAGTTAGGAAATTTGGAAATAATGAACTCTTTGTTTTGTACAGCTCCCTCTTAAGGCCAAGATATTAAGTAAGCTATAAAACAATGTTTCTTGACTAAAATCAACCGATTAGCTATTCCCGTTTGGAAATTATATACCACAACTACATTTTCTGAGATTTTCATGGTCGCTGCTACTATTGTACGGGCGTAGGCGCTATTTGAAATTCATCCAAATTTAACTGGAGCACCGGTAAATTGTTATATTCAATTTTTCTCGAAAGCAGAAGCGTTTTAGGGACTAAATTTTCTAGTGCTTATAATGCATCCACAGGGGCATCCAAATATATCAAAATTGTAAAGAATCACTATCCACCCAATTTTCAAAATTTCCCAAAACTTTGTATTACCTTTAAGAAAATATGTTATCTCTCTTAAACATCAATTGTTAAGTTTTAACAATATTAATATTGATCATCAATGATAAAGATTGTATATACTGTAATTCAGAACTATCCATCTACTACGACAACCCTTATTTGGAGCATGGACACATAAAATGAAATATTGATATTGCTGAAGCTACAGTGCATGAACAAGACATATAATGTCATCATACATTTATCCATTCATTCATACATTAATTTATACATCAATTCATACATTAATGAATATATTAATTCATACATTAATTCATAGATTAATTCATACATTAATGCATTCATTGATTTCATGCATTATTTCGAACACTAATCCATACTTAATTTTACTACAATACCTTTAATAATTGACCGCCTTTAATTATCATGGTAGCTCGGCTAAAGCCGGGGTTATAATATGATTGCAGGGTCCTCAGGGAGAACAATATTAATACTGATGGAGCTACCCTTGGTTTAAAAAAATATAATTATTGTTATTATTATTATTACTATTATCATTATTGTCATTCTTATTTCATTATATGCTTGACTATGCTATAAAAATAACATTGACATTTTACAATACTGAATATTGTTTTACCCCTAGTATTATATTTTTGACGCCCAGACTGAAGTTCCGATAAATACTGTATACATACGAAATGGTTATTAAACATCCCAATACGCGCTACGTAACATTTTTTTATTAGAACAAGACGGCTGTCATTGTGCATATGATATTGTCTTAAACCGCTTGACAATATCTAGAGTACAAAGATTTTTCAAAATGCATTGAAATAAAAGAATTGTCTCATTTGTCATTCTACTTTTCATGGTGCGTTCGAGTAAAGTTGAAAAAGAAATATTCAAAATCAGTGTAATACCCCTAGGAAAACTTAGTCTGTTTAGGTCACTGTCGAATACCAACAGGTATCAGCATATCGTACGACAATGTGTTAGACCATGTCATAGTAGACAAAACATTTATAGAATCAGGTGGTACATTTGCATTCATATGAAAATTCTCAATATGCTATTTCTCGCGCTTATCAAAGACGAGGTATCTAGGAAAAGGAATTGCTCAAAGAATGTTATGTCGTTGCACTTTTCTAAAAAATCTTTTTTTTTTAATTTCTAATATTTCAGCTCATAACGATATTGAGGGTACCCCTGCTTACCACCGACGGCCACATAGTCATATTGTCACATTCTTCTACTCGTTGGGGATCAAGTCATTGGTTCTGAGATTAATCGTAAGATATTTCGTCAATTCATCAAAGAAATATTCCTGTCCCCTCACGTCCTCAGTCCAATAAAGGTAAGGTCTGCCGTCACTGAGATACAACCTCGCCAAGAAAGGTATCTCATCATCTGGGATGTCTTCGATGAAGACCGCGACTACGAACTCAGTCTGAGTGTCACTCACGTGGTCCATCGCGGTGCGGAGCTTGAGCATGAACCAACGATCGCGCACGGCGGCTCTGCTTAGTAGAATGACGGTCTTGTAACTCCGGCTCACCACGTAGTCAATCGCATCCAAGTAATGCATACCCGGCACGAGGTCTTCGTCACCAAAGACGTTCCTCTCAAACTGCGGGAGTCTTTCTTCGAGAGTTGGTAGAAGACGTTCGCGAGCCCACTCTTCGTCATCGTCGTAGAAGATGACATTCATGTCGAACTCATAATCATTGTGGTCTCGAGCGTCTCGCATCTCGTTATACCCAACGGCCGCTAATTTCAAGAGAAAGAGTTTGTACCTCAACTGCCATCGATAGTGAAAAATGAGTAGGACGATGACAACGAAGAACATGATGGCGAGGGAAGTCAAAGTATAGAGGGCGATGTTATAGCTACAAAGCGTTTTGGAGTCAAAATCAAACAGCGGTTTCTCGCGAAGAGGCTCTAAAGACGCTGGCGAACAAATAGTTTTCTTCTTGTTTATGAGTACAAATGGTCCGCTAATCCAGGTAAGAAGCCAACTGAGTTCACAATTGCATTCAAGTGGGTTCCTTGAAAGATCGACAGACGTATGAGAAGGCCCAATCAGTTTGAAAGTACTTTGGTTGAGTCTTGTTAATTTGTTTTCTGATAACAAAAGTGTTGTCAGCCTACTATTGTTCAAAAACAGGTTTATATCGAGGTATGTCAAACGGTTATTATGGAGATCTATGTATGTCATTTGTCCAAAAATGTTCAATATGTCAATAGGAAGTTGCTTTATTTTGTTCCCCCTTAATTTCAGCACCCGAAGAAATGTCAACGCCTCGAAGGCTAATGGATTAAGAAAAGAAATTTGACAGTCTTCTAAACTGAGCTTTTGTAGAGCAGACAGTGGTTTAAATGATAAATAACCTGCCCAAACATATATTGAGCCGATTGAATTTTCACTCAGATCCAAAGTCGTCAGACTAACCAATCCATCGAAAAGAGAGATATTTGCAACTAATAAAGACAACCGAACGGTCTCAAGCCTGGTCTTTCTGAGGTTCAAATGCACAAGTGATTGTAGACTTTCGAAGGGATAAAAAGTCATATGAAACAAAGTAGGGTTATCGATAAGGAAAAGAGATTTTAAGCTCGGAGTGACCAAATCAAAATTAGCAATATTACATTGTGACAAATCGATAGTTTCAATTTGTTTTAGCCCCATAAATGATGTCCTTTCCAGTATTGTAAGATCTATGTTTGATTGCATGTCTAAAAACGTTAAATTTTGCAAACCGAGAAACGTGAATTGGGAAATTTTAGTCAAACAGTTCCCGGAAAGATCCAACTCAGTTAAACCTATTTTCCATGAACTATTGTTGGGGTTAATATGTTTTATATTATTGGCTATCAATTTTAAAACTCTGATATCCTGCATGTTTTCAAAGAATTCTGGTTCGATTTTTTCGATACGGTTGTTACTGAGATCAAGTAATCTAGTACGCGTCAAATTCGAGAAGACGAATGGACGGAGGGCGCGTATATAGTTCGAAGAGAAGTCAAGCACTGAAAGAAAATGACCCTGCAGCGGATCAAAGAAATCTGTTGGAATTTCACTCATATTATGCGTGAGTCTAAATTGCTCTATAGTCGACCGTGAGATGCCAATGAATATATTTCTCAATACCTCGAATGACAAAGGATGGTCATGGGACCCGATCCACAGTAACCTGACATGCAATAATGCGATCACATTGGGATCGACTAATATGATAGGGTTATTATCTAGAGACAAAGTCTCACAATTACATGAAAAATCAAAATCTTTCTGGGTGATGTGCGTCAGATAATTTGCACCCAATTCAACACGCTTAACACTGCCACAACGACTGATGTTAATGACAGTAAGAAGGTTGTTTAAAAGGTGTACACGTTCTAAATGCGGGCTCCATTTTAGCGTATCGTTGGGTAGTGATTTCAATTTCGAATGCCTTAAGTTTAGAACAGACAGCTTCTTAGCCCATCTGAAGAGCCCTGTGTCGGGAAGCACAATATAAGGGTTTGAAAAAAAATTTATATC